TGAATTGAAAGCACATTATTCCGTGGTCCAGGAATGTGTGACTGTTTCAATGATTAACAACTTCGGAAACCAACACTATCAACAATCATAATACTTATTACGCTTGAGAGGGTTTGAGGAAAAAAATATTCCCAATGAAATTGGTTGAGTACATATAAAAAGACAGCTATCTATGATTGTCGTAGTAGGCATCGGCTTGTGTATTTAGCAACTTTTACAGATTTCATGGTGTAATGAATAACTGAGTGGGCTGCCAGTTCAGCTACATATAGAGAAATTGAAGAGTACACATTAATTTCATAAGACTTGCGAATGCACTCCATCGGGCAATTTTTTAGGTCAACGAATCGTTATATATGAATGGAAGTAATTCATATTTTTATATCCTTTGAGGGGTAGGATGAACGAAAAAATACTCGAGAACACAGACACTGTAAAATTGAGATTTCATACTGATAGACCTCAATGGAATTTAGCACGAAATCATGCTTCCTCAAAACACGCAACACTGGTTCAACTCACATAAACACAGAAATTTCTCTCATCAATAAATTGTTCAAAGAATAAAAATGTCATAGAACTGACAAACCATATTTTCAAATTTCATACTTGTTGGTACGATGCGCGGTATTTTGAAAGCATTGAGATTGACGCGTTTAATTGCTTCTTGATAGTTACGACCCTAAAATATGTTTATTGTGAGTAAAGACTGATTATAGATTACCATTTAATGTAAATTTATATTATTTGACTGTTGAATTGATGTTTCATTCTATGTTGTCTCTGTCACGAAATTAGGCGCTTGTGCTTTTGTAACTGTGTTGAATGTGTAATCTACAGTAGACATTGATCAAGATGATTGTTTTTCACATGAAAAATGTATGAAGGTTGTCACACATTGACAAGGTGTGTGCATTTTTAGATGTCGGTAGCACTTTCTGATGAATAAGATATTCTATTGCACGGAATGTCACTTCAACGAATTCACGTTTTTGTTTAACACAAAATATCTTTAAATAACCATTCGCGTAATTCGTCTGAATAAACGTGAACAAAACTATTTCAGTAACAATAAAAGCAAGTAAACTTCATATTTGACAGAATATTTTCAATCCTTGTAAATGACTTCACTTATTGCAAATAGTTAAAATGCAAAGTTTTTGAAGCAACAAGACATATATTTTGTTAAAAGTACATGCGTAATTCGGGTTTCAGAATGACAATGACCAATGAGTAAACTCGTCAGTTGATTTTTGCAAACTAGCTATATGGTTTTGTTTGGATTATCCGAAAATGATGATTTCAACCTATTTAGTGAAGCGCAAACATCAAGTATATATATTATATTATTGCTTCAAACATTTGCAGTTGCGTCCAACATGTCAATCACAGAACCTGTCCATCACTCAATATGAAATCATTGAAGCGAAAGAAATTCTGAGTGGCATATTGTTTGCGGAATCAGCAGTTCAAATGGTATATTAGTAGTTCCAAAAAAGAACTACTCATAAATTTGCTCTTATTTTACTACTTGGCGTTTACGAGTCTTCTACCCTATCTCATAGCATGCTGTGATGATCTTATTCTTGAGCAAATTAGCATTTAAGTAGATGGTATGGTGTGAACATAAACAAAGAACAAACAATTGAATATTCTGCACTTGTTCACTATTTCCTTTTTTTAAATTTTACTTGATAAATCTGAAACGTAATCGCTCTAAATATTTTTTTCACCAAGCCCACACCGGCATTGTCCTTCACCATGATGTCTTAAAATAATAATTACGGTAAATTCATGGTAATCGACTAGATAGGTTTTGACAATTAGAGGAGTTTTATTGCAAGAGCGACAAAACTATAGGAAAATCAAAATGTAGTCACTGACATTTGTTGCAATATATAATCAGTTCCGACTCTTGTCATCAGTTACACATTCCATTTATTTAAAACGTTATGCTCAATATTACGTGCACAGGCATTCTTTGTAGTGTGCGTCACAGTACGTTTTAAGTCATTTATTAGTGGATGTTGAAGAAAGTCTTTGAACGAGCAAAAGTGTTTATCTTATCAAGTGTGACTTGAGCGTTATGTTTTTAATCCAATGCCATTAAAGATGAAAACAATCTTACCAATAAGTTATATGAATAAAAATTGAATATTTATACTGTAGACCTCAAATGCACGGACTACAAAGAACCTACTATGACTCTAACTAAAGTATATCAGTATTATTCAGCCGTGCTTGAGATTGTATTGCTCCTTATTTCAAAAAACATAAGTTTACGTAATGGTTTTTACTTGAATCTTTTGAAAGCGTTCGTCGTTGCACACACAGCTTTAAATATTGATTGAATCTATCTGGAACAAAGTTACCTTCGCCATTATTTAAATTAACTTGTCAAAAAACGCAGTATCTGGAAGGTAGTTTCAATAAAATGTTAGCATGATGAAAGTGAATTGTCTAGTTTGTGTCTGTAATGCAAATGTACTGGAAGTCTTAGAAATGTGCTCATTCAAACTTTTTATTCACTGCAATGTTCATTGTGTTATTTTCATCTCTTCAGCTTGAAATGAAACATCTGTCACCTGAATTGTACTTCCTAAACAAATAATAATGTTCAGTATATGATCTGTACAGCTGTCACACAAGTTGAAATGCAGTACTTATGTCTGGTCTGTATATACTCCATCCGAATTACTAATAATAGTACTATAATGATAGTCATTCTTCTTCAGCTAGTTCTTTACGCCGATTCATTATGCAAGATTGACTTGTACTTATCCACAGAGTTGTTGTGATATTTTCATAAGGCAGTTATCACACTGAATATATATCGAATCCCCAAAAGCCTAATCGACTATAAGGGTGATTAAAAGCTTAGAATCCAGATGTGAAATATTTCAAACAATATTTCAATGTTGGTGAAATGTTTTAATCGATATGTCCCTGGATCGCTTTAGGCATGAACTGACACGCAGTTTTATAATTCATAGTAGAATATTATCTGAATTATCTAAGAATCACTTTCTCAGCATATACACTTGTGCTGTTGTGAACTTTAAAGGTTAACTATCAAAGTGTCAAATATGACCGAAATAAAAATAGTAGCATTTTCTGTAGATTGCTGATTATCTTTTTAGAAAAAATGGATCTGGTATGTATTGGTTGGGCGTGATTTTTACAAAAAGTCGATAACACCAACGTAAATCATTTTCATGATTCCATGAACTTATTAAATATTCAATGAATATTATTGTGTATTCAAACAAATTTCTCTGTCAAAAAGAATTAATCTAACTAATTCAATAATTTTTCAATGATGTTAACACATTTCAATGAACGATTTTAAAGACCAGTTAATAGTTTATGATGAACTTCTGCATCAAATGGACACTTATTCATTCTAATTCTTCACAAAATTTAGTCAACCTATGATTTGTTTATTTTCTGTGATTCAAAATTCTTGCAACCTGTAGACCAAAATAAATATTCAGATTGGAAATTTAAACAAACTTAAAATGGAATAGAAAATAAGTATCGTTTGGGCACACCACTGTTACTTAATAAGAAAGAAATATAGTAAAGCTTTTCGGTAATGGATTGAACATCTGAAGATACTTAAAAAAAAACATGACATAACACTAAATTTTTATAAAGTAATAATAATAAGGTGATACCATATCATAGAAACTCCATAATAATAGAAAATTATCTTATAATACTATATTGGATGAAAAATTTAATTCATCACCAAAATTTCCACTGTTACAATTTCATACTCATTGAAGAAATCAATTTTACTGATGATCAATGGAGAGAATCTAATTTTTAAAAATTACATAATTCGATGCGTAGTTATTCTACCTAATAATTTCACAACCTTATCTATAATTTAATTTTTAAAAAAGTAGATGATTACTTAGAAGGCAGTGTGATAAGTTGATACTATTTTTAGATATCGTGTTCAATATGGATACAGTGTAAGTACGAAAAGAATTAGAAGTAATTCAAAGTCTCTGAAATGTTAATTTTAGAAGAATATCGTTTTCATATTTTCTTAATTTTTTTCATCATTCTATTAGCTTTATTTGATGCGATAAAATGTACGTACCGTATTTCGATTACTTGACAAATATAAACATGTACTGACACGCGTATATTATATAACTAGTTTATTTTGTGACTAGTTGCCAACAGAATTATGAAGACATCTAGAAAAAGCAATCAACCAGATAGATTATAATTAATTTGAAAAGATTATTCAATATCTTCGGATGACAAGTTGATTGCCTGTCATCTTATGGTTATTTTATGATGAAATCTAGTCTTATTCATTGTGACTTGATCATGTAATAGAATTACGTAAGAGTTGTTTGAAGAAACATCACAGTTCATCATAGTTTATTCAAGTGTGAGAGTTTTTCATCATCATAAGCTGGTCGTTTACATGCCCAGCAACAAGCAAACTTCTATTGCAATCTATTTTCATGACTTTTCACTAAGCACAACACGAATACATCTTGACTTTGTTCAATACTAGGCACATCGTTGATGTTTCTGTTGGAGAATATTCCTTGAGAAAAGAACATTTTTCCCAGTTTAATTTAGCAAGTTATCTGATTCAGAGAACAATGACCAGGATGACAAAACACTTCATTTCTGTCAAGTTTCAGTAACTGTTGAAGTTCAGATCAGCACTGGATATTGCTTTTCAAAAAGCATGAATCAATCCCACAAATAGAACCAATGAGATAAAAATTATTTAATTTTTCAAACCAATCATCGCACGTGAACATATGCGAAGGTCAAATGAAACTACATGACTCTTTGAAGACCTTTGATAGGTTACAAACCTACGTTTTTCTAACCAATGATTTCTCAACAGTGATTCATATTTCGTGTCACTCAATGGAAAAAATAAGCTTTTTTGTTGATTCCCCCTTTGAAATGATCGATCGTCAACGTTTCAAAATGTTATAAAAGCAGTAGTACAAATTGAAGTTTCCGAAGAAAAATGTGGTGTTCATATGCGCTTCTGATAACATTGTTTCATTCAGTAATTCTTAAAGACGTTCAACATCGTAAGTTTTATTCAAGAATTTGAAATAGTTTTTTTGTTCATTGCATATGTTTTATATGATGAATAAATATTTCGTAATAAAATACAGAATAATCAGAGTTTAACTGCGTATTCTGAAATTTCTTTTTCATGCTGTTACACATTGTTCATTTAATTGTTCTCGCCTAACGCTGGATTTCTCACGAATATCATTTCACATTTTGAAAATCTTTTTTTCTGGAACGGTTGTCGCTGACTACTCTAAATGTTAATTTATTGACACAACTTTATTGTCATATTTACCGTTATATTGATAAGTATTTTAGACCGGTGTGTCTGATATGATAAATTCTCTGTATCCTCAACCACACCTATCTCTTTGAAGACTTCAGCAGACGTCCGTTTTTCATCTCGTTTTTTTATTGAAAATAATTATCATCACGATAAGTTATTGAGCAGCTCACCAATTGCCGTGAATAATAACAAGACTAATACGTAACCATCACGAGTCACGTTATTACGCTATACATTCTGAAAAATCTGTCTGCCATTCTTTACAAGGTTACTTTTGGTCTGATGGCTAGATAAACAAGTTTGAATTTATTTTCGCAATCGGATCCAGCTTGCTAAGAATATGCAAATTTTGACAAATAATTCGATCTATATACTTAATGCGGTGAAATCATGGAAATGCTTCATTTACATGGCACATGATGGTTTTCACTGAAAGAAAAAGTTCCTCAAACGTCATCAGACTGATGTCATTTTTCAAAACTCAACTAATCACTAACCTACACATACCTAATGTTCGTGAATTTTGACGGAACAGAAGAGTAAATAATCTTTCATTTAAAATAAATAAATATCTTCAACTTGTAGATGGAGTTTATGAGCCACGAGATCATGCTTGAAATGAAATAACCATCTGAGCTTATGATTTAGTACATTTAGTTGACTTAATTAATAACAGTTATTGGTTTTGCAAATTGAAATTAACATCTTTTTCACTCTTCAGTCTCGAAAGTGAACAAAGAAGCAATAAATAGAATGATGATAGACGTCTTTAGTATGTTTTGTTCGGGAACGTTTTTAATAAAACTCTAAATGTTGATATATTTATATTAATCGGAAACCAAACGCACTTTATATATATATATATATATATATATATATATATATACATGTATATATAAAGACATTTTTGCTGACATTTCTATACAGAAATATTTAAAATTTGTATTTACCGCATACTCTCACATCTCTTTTTGGTCTTCATAATGCTTAAATATATATCTAATTTCTCTTCCCTCATGACGGGAAAAAAACGTCTTGATAAACATAGTCATCTGTAATCATTCTTTCTGTATTTATATCCAAGATTCAAAAATTTTCTGATTTGCATGCATCGAATTAGAATAAACTAGCAAAATAAACTGATTTCATAATGCGCAACACCAGTGTTTTCTTTGTTTGGTACAAACGATCTAAATTTGCAAATAAATACAAGTTTATTCAACCTTAAATGAAAATGATTGTAGTCAGCTGAATAAACATGATTTTTTTGTGAAGCCTATCTAGTGTTTTTACTCACTTATTCTTGATTATTTCGAATGGATAATTAATAGAAAATGGAAGTAATCATCAGAGAGGAATTGAGTCGTACCGAGAACAAATCAAAATACTTAAAGGTGAGTTCAAATTTAGTTGATGCTGTGACCACTTGATTAAAAAGTAAAAGAATAAAGTAAACTTCCTTGTCTTGATATTCTTACAGTTAATTAATGAAGTTTAAACTATCATATACGGGTTTATCCGTATACGTTTATCGTCACGAATCTTCTGAGTTCTAACTATTAATTTTTTCCACATTTCATGTAGATAAAATCGAACAAAACCTTCATCCTGACTCAGAAAAACTTAAAAAATGTAAGTATAATCGAGAACACCTGAATTTTTATTGAATAATACTATCCTTTTGAAATTTCAGATATGGAATGTGAATTTGGACGCTTAAATCTGAAATATTCGCCTAAGCTTTTCAAAGGTTTGTTGAAGATGCATTTTTTTTAATTCATGCAGTGAAAACCAAATTTTGCATAGAAATATATGCATGTTAACTGTTTCTTGTAATTATTTATTTACATAAGTATCAGTGCTTACGTGAATATTAAATATCATTTTATCTGAGAGCTTATTATTTCTGATGTATAAGTTATATTGAATTTAATGCTTTTTAGGTCTGTTATAAAGCTCTAGGATTTCAACATTGCTTTTATAATTGTTGCTTCCATAATCGTGAGAGCGTTTAGTTCTGGACCTACTGCCTAATCATTTTTCATCTAAAAGCGCTATAACTTTTATATATTATCACGTTTTAACAGCCTGATTTAGAGTTTATCTAAATGGCGTTTAATGAAGACAACTGTTCACCTAACCAATTCTCAGCTTTTCGTTTTATCTTGGGTAATGACACGTAACAATCGTGGAGAATCCATCGTTGGTGTTAAAATATTAGAACACCAATAACTACATTAGAAGTAACAAGCTTTATTAGTTAATAACCCGGTATGTAGACAATAGAAATTTGAAGCTACAGCTTCTGTGAATAGTTGATGACAATTCTCAAACTCTTATTTCAACCTGAAAATCCAACGTCGAATTCTATTTTAAAACTTTTCATGTCGTATTGTCTCAAGTTGGCAAGAATTATTCTTATATTCTTTACAAAAGCCTCGTCAATTTCATAATTGCGTATACACCGATTCGCATGAAAGCAATAGTTTATTGAAAACTGATCACACCCAAATACGAGAACGAAATCACTGATCATACGGACATATGAAAAAATGAATCATCAAAGCATGAATTTCATCTTCACAATCTATTATCATGAAAAATAAACCAACATTTGAGTCAACATTTTCAATGCCAATCTCAAGGCCATCTTCTGGAAGATAAACCTAAATGATAATAGTCGTTTGTGGTAAATGTTCTGGACCCGAATCAAACTACTTTCAGAGAAAACAAAACAAAATTTTTTGAAAAACAATGCCAGACATGCACAGAACAAACATATGTGAAACCAGCGAACAGCGGCATACAATAATTCCAAAAGTGAAAAATGAATAACAGCCTGTATGACTGACTGTGAAGAAACCAAGAGTTTGAAGTCAGATATTCGAATGATAATTTACGAAACTGAACTTTCACAAGATTGATTAAACTGTGAAAGAAACAACACCCTAATTCTATTCGAAGAAGTGGAATTCCGCTGTTTCAGTAAAACGGCTAGATGGTGTAATTTACCCTAATCTCGCCAAATTAAACTGCATCGTCAACCATCCTGTTTCATACGATCACTGTACCAATGTACAGTGCTAACATACTAATGTACTAACGCGGTTGAATGCTCTACTAGAGTGTCAACTATTCGTCTTTAATAGCGCCTAAAGAATAACACACATCTTGAAAACCAATGAAAAACTATCTATGCGTAATAAAGCTAAATTTGTATAACATGTCAGTTACCATTCGAATATAAACATTAGTAATTTGTTCGCTTACTTTACTTTGTAAATAACACAGAATTTTACAAATTGGTGAGAAGAATGGAAGAGAATTTCTGTGAGTGCAGCTAGTGAATATTTACACCATCATGAATAACTTATGTTTAAACTAAAAGAAATTATTCAGTTTGTGTTATGTAATGGAAAATATGTTAGTTTAGAGTTTAGAAATAACTGTTCAACTCAATATTCGATACATCTTATTGTTATGATAAATAATTCACACTTCCTAGATCGCTTCAGTCTACTGAATAATTATTTTTTTCTAAAAATACTTAGAAACACCACGTTATAAAAACGTTCATTTACATTATATAGATCTAAGCCGTTCTGAAGCAGGGTACCTCAAAACATGTTTCGATTCGCAAGCACATTCTTATTATGAAGGTTAGTTCATATAGATTTTGATTTAAATTTTAAGACAACTTTCATTCCGATCATTAATTAATTAGTTGGAATTAGATTACAACTGAAAACGAATTTCGGACATTTTCAATCGCTGTACACTGACTTTATGTGATTATGATCAATAGCCTAATGTGACTGATGAATTGGTTGAATACAAGCCCGGAACACATATCATTTCATTTCATAATTCTGTGATGAAAATTCATGAAATCTCCCACAATTGTTTCATTTGAGTAGCAAGAGTCGTAGATATGCACTGCTCATAGTTCTCCTACTAAGATGAATCGTTAGTTCATTGCTTCCAAGTAGACAAAATTAGTCCCAAATTATTGGATTGTTACGGTTACAATGAAACATACCATTTGCCCTACGTAACAAATTACCAAGTATATCATAGTCTTCATTTATTCATCAAAGTTAAATGAGGTGTTTATTTTTGCTTTTTTAGAGTCTGAATCAGAGGGATGTTATTTACCGGAGTATTACAATAAATATGGTACTTTCCAGTCATTTTTATGTTAATTACGCAAGCTGCAAATAAAATGCATTAATTTAATTCATAATAATTAACAAAAGTTTGTGTTACTAATAATGTTACTGTTATAACACACATTAACGCTAACTACAGAATAGGGAGTTTATCATCATCAATCACATGAGTTAAATACACAGAACCAACTGCTGCGGATTAACTTGGCTGAAAGCTCTGAACATAAAACAGAACGGACATCTGGAGATACTTGGTTTCTAATGGTGGCTTTACAAAGATCGATTGGTGATCCGAATAGAATCCATTTTACTTTCTGAATTCTCGTTATCGCATTTCTGGTTATTGGGTAAGGAATTTAGGACAAGTAGGTGCGTTGTTCCTCGAGAGCATCAAAGCTTTGCATTTATTTGAAATTGCGGTCGTTTTCGAGTGCCTCGAAATCTTCCAGAGAAAATAAATTGTCCGAAATGGTAGTACTTTGATTTAATTACATCCATAACAAGGAATCAGTATTATGATTTCTTCCAAATTCAACTATGATTGTACTTTGTTTATGTACTTCCAAGTGTTTCATTCAATCAGCTTTTTTGTAGAAACTGATAAAAGATTACTACTTATAACAACTAATTTTCGAACAAAAACATGAATTTTATTCTTGAACGAAAATTTTCTTCGCAGATATTAACCGCTTGTCGAATACTTTAGAAATGGAACGCATGTTCATCAATGAGTACAACTTGGATTCATGTAAGTTATGATAGTTTTGAGGTTTTGAGTAAGTTGACATGAATCTTCAATATTCAAGCCGATTTGTGAAATTTGTAAACATTTTTCTGATACATAAAATGAGAACAGTTTTAAAAATTTGAATAGTTTTAAGTTTTTTAAGTGACATTAGTTCATTCACAGAGATAACTTTCGTAGTCTCACATTTAAACATTTCATATTGTGTGCTGAATACACTACTCACATTACTTACAGTAGTACGGTTATGCATACTGATATAACAAATAGTACAAGAACTACTAACAGTACTACTTCTACTACTAGCTTTGAAATTTATTTAATTATACAAGAACATATTCATTTTACTTTGGTAATGTGAATCAATGATCGATCACAAAAGGACGATTTGTAAACGCTTAGAAACACAGAAGAGCTATCAAATATCAGTCAACAACTATCAAAGTGATTCGAAATCAAGTTCAACAATCTGCAGTGATAACCAAGGTCTTCCAGACAATATACTTGATAAGCAATAGTATTCAGTATGTATTTGGTCATGTTCTTGTTTAAACGTTTTATTGCATTTTTTCAGTTGCTTATAGAATACTGGGAAGAGTTTTAATGGAAATAAATAAGTTGAGTGCACCAAGTAAGTGTCAATATCTATACGTATCTGTAAAGATCAATGTCCTTAGTCGAAATCTTGTAACTTGTGCATTGACGGTCACAAGTACAGAATTTTAATTTTGCAATATTTTTTGCAGTAGATATTTGAAACGCTTTTCAACATATTCCTTAATTTTCAATTATTCTCAATTGTTGAACCGTGTCTGATTACTCGATTTAAATGCGTTCTCCTGTGATCAGTGATATAACTTATCGGAATTGTAAAGTTGAGAATACTTGATGGCCACAGAGTTCTCGATGGATGAGATTTCTCAGGTTCTATTTGGACTTACACAACCGTTGGCATTAGCTGTGCATTTGATTAAGATACAGATTTCTAGTATTACGAATGCTGCCTACCTTTAAAGTTTGAACCGTGAAACAAGCTGAATATTGCCAGCCTTCCTTCAGACATTCATTCGTTTTAATGAAACATACATTCGAATCTGGTATCTTGAATCACACAAGAAACTGATGAAATACGTTGAGAGTACTTCTTAATACAGTATTACAAATAGTGTCAATATATTATAAGCATTTATACACTAACGAATATGATGTTTAGCTTTGATAAATTATTTATACCTTGAATAAATAATATTTTCTGTTTGAATCCTAGCACACATTCAGCGATTGTCACCTGCAATGACGATTGGTATTTAGGAATTCTTACTATCCACTTACTTGTTTCCTGAAAAAAAATGTTTCGTCTATATTTATAAATTGCATTACTACTTTTAAATCAATAAATGGATATTTGACAGATGTTTGTTGTTCTTAACGTAAATATCGATGTGTTGTAAGACTGCTACGTAGCTACTTAAATCCAACCGACGTCCGAATTCAAATATTTCAATACGACACAAATACTATTCTCAATCTCCTCTATATCAGAACAGTTAGTTGAAGTTATTTAGAGGGTCGAGTACAGTGAAGAGGAAGGCAGGGAAGAACGGAAAACAAAGCTTTACGGATACTGCTAGTTGAAACATTTAAGTCTGTGATCAATAAGAAACAACATCGGAGTACGTGACATTGATATTTAGGGCGACCATAAACCTAATCAGTAGCAATTACCCTTCGGAACTGACCAGTATTTCTCTTAGTATATGCGATGAATATCCCAACACGATGTAATGTATTATCTGTATTATTGAATGGCGTCAGAAATGTTCAAATAGTGCAATACTAAAACAATTGAGTAGATAAGGAAAAAGTGAGCGAGGGCTACTGTATAACAGTTTTGAATGTTCGTCTGTTCGTCAATTTTCTTTGATTGTGGTTAGTTTTTCGTTTCCCCATTGTTGATGACACGCTGTGTCGTGTGCATATTAGATCGAGTCAAATTTCACTGACATTCATTTCGTGATCACTTCCTGAACAAATGGCATGTTATTTTTGAAACTGTCAACAATATTCAGCCTACTGCGAATTTAGACAATTCCTTCGTTTTCTTCGTTGTTTCTTGGTTTCTTACCTTGTCGCTGATTGCAAATCAGATCGGTAAAATGTTCTCCGAATGCCGTCTTTTCCATCTTCAAAGAAGTGTGAAGCGCTCTTATCAACTATTAAAACCTTCATATCATTAGCGCTGAAACGAGTCAATTGAGAAAACTGCAATATAAATGTAAAGATGTTGTTATATGATTCATCATTTTAGGATTAGGTGACCGTCTGCTGTGGCAATGATCAAATAGCTGCTTATTCTGCGTACAAATACGTTCGATGTAAGGGAAACAAGTTCGAAAATCGCACCTCACAAAACCTTTACTATTTACTAAACGATGTAATCATGAAGACAATATTGACGATGGCTGTTATAGCAGTGGCTCGTTAGAAAACTGTAGCACACATTAGGATTGAGATCATGTTTCAATGTGAAGGTGAATTTGTCTGCGGCTCATTGAACATGGGAAAAACGAAACGCAGGAGAACTGTAAACATATTCACGAGAACGTACGAGAGCTCAGAGGATAATTCTAGGGTCACTAGAATGATAACCGCATCCTTGTGAGTTATGATAATCTCGAGGTTGTTTCTAATGATACACAAATGCTTAGTAAGAAACAGCATCTCGTAGCAGCGAATTAAACCAGAATGTACGGCAGAAGCAAAATATTTTAAAAGCATCTGCTCAAATGATACATGTTTAACCTTTATACCTCAAAAATAAGAGTAAGAAACAGATAATATATTGTTGATAATAAGCCGACGCAATGATTGCGAGAAGTGGTCGATAGAGATGGAAGTGGAACCAAAGAATGGTAACAAAACACATCTTTTGAGACTTATCAAAGAAACTGGTATACGCAGTCTGAATGCTGGCAACACCGTTCAGGAAAAATAGGGAATAATTACTCCAGAAGATGCCATGGATGCGTAGAACGTTTTCTATAGTATGACAGCAAGAATTGAGCAACATTTTGGCTGCTCGCTATCCGCACTGAACCAGAGTATGTACGTTGTTCAAATAGTCATGCTGATGATAACGCTTCTGACAATCTCTTTCCATGGACATCCGCAATCTCTACGTAGTAACCTGAGTCTACCAAATGTTACCTTTTTGATGACTAACATCGTCGCTGGTGTTTGGGAGCTGGATCTCGTTGCTTCTGAATATTCGAAATTGCTGCTTCTCTGAAGGTAATGATAAAGAAATTTATTCTCCTGCTACAATAATAAATATATTAGTTAAACTTATTTGCTATAAGATGTTCAAACGTCGTTGACTGCACTCGTATTACGGTGTTGTACAACATGTTTACTACTTCGCTAATATGCATGTTGATTGACCTTGTGCTTGTCACTGAGACGTATACTGAGGTACTATAGTAGCTCTGTGCAGTTGTGGTAACCCATATGATCTAGCTAATTATTTGCTTTCAACACTGAAAATTCCAAATCTCATCTTTTTCCACAATACTTATATTCTGTCATTTTCTATACGTTTCCTTACACTCTACTAATAAGATTATTAGTAGTGAATTGCAAGGTTGAGGAATAATAACAAAACCATCATAAACCATCATATTCATATTAGAACTGAAATGTCTTCTGTTGAAATCCATTCATTTAGTTGCCATTCTATTCGCCACTGTCACTCTTACTTAATTCCATAATTGATCATCTGTTATATCATTGATCATAACTGTTATACACTTTTATGGATAAGTAATTTCCAAGTGTTTAATAATAAGACGAAATTGCTTAACAGCATTCTAAATCATTTACTAAGGCTCTACATCAAATGGCGATAAAAACCAGCAGAATAAGAATGCGTTTATTATTGTATTTACTTTGCATTATTCAGTCCCCTTCATTTTGGAATGATATATATCAGGACTACAAGGCAGGTCGTTTCAAGTGAAAACGATCATAAGAAAACTATGACAGTTTTTGCAAAATGTATCTGGTGACTGATAATATTTTTTTCATACGAATTACAGAGAGGTATGTCTCAACATTAAAAACCAATCAGACACTGAATTTTTTAGTGAGCTACGTTCGATCTTTGCTGGACTCAGTATGCATTACGTGTTTTCGTCTTTTTCGTCGCCTATGAACGATGATCACTGAAAAGCAACAAAATATGACATGCTATTATTTAGCTTATGCTAGTTATAACTAAACCTTTGAGTGGGTAAAAATATATTTTATGTTTGTACTTGGAAAAATCATCAAGAAGCATTTGAATGGATTCAAACAAAACTCACTTTTCGCATGTTTATTTTTTTGAAATTTACATACAGCTAAGAATTTCAAATGTTTTCGAATCTTATCCTCAGAATGCATAAGGATCAGTTACTTGCAGTGTTGCATTTTGTGGTCCATACTGACAAGACATGTTGAAGTGATTGATTTCTTGAAGCTCTTCTACTGCACTATCTAAATCACCGTCTATTGAGTAGATTTTGAAAAGTCAGGAACTTTTCTTAAACATTTTTTTTTGAATTTATTGAGCTTTTAATTATCTCAAAGACTTTATGTGGTTCTCAACCATGTCTAGTTGTTGTTCATATCAACGCCTTTTATTCTTTCTTGTCGTCCAACAGGACTCTTTTGAAATGTTGATGAAGGTTCACAGTGGAGCGATGTTCGGCACCAACCATCAGAATGGCCGACAACTATGTTGAGCGTTTCTCGTATATCGACTATAGTCGCTACAAGAAGTTTACTGTGAAGTCTCCATTTGATTCGTTATTAGGAGCATAGCACTTGATTAGTTTGATAACAATGCCCTGTTTCTTTGTTTTAAAAGAGTTAAGGACAATTCTCAACGAATTCCCATGCTATCAGTAATGTTTGTGCTTATTTGGAGAATAAAAGTGCATTTATATGAGCATATGCCACTTCTTTGACTTTGGGATAAATTTACAGTAGCATATATCTTTAGTAATTCGGTTTCATGTCCATTCAAACTGATTCCGAACATACCTTGGTTGTACATTTTCATTTCTGCAGCAGCTTGAATGACTTGTCTAGGCGTCCAGGTCGTACCGAATTTCGAATTATCTAAAATAATAATTGCTTTCTTTGTGAGTAGAGGAATCTACTTCCTGACTTACGAGAAAACTTGGAGTTTACAATGCGATTTTGTGGGTCTTCTCGTTGATGATATTCTTCAGTTTCAGCACAACCACTGATCAACCAATGCGGTCTATCATTTCAGTTTTTAAAACGTTTGCATTGTCGTGAAGCCACAAGTTACTATTTCTACTAAGCAACGTGTGATACGCAGATGACTATATTTCATGTATAGCGTACTATCTAACGTGACAGGTTCAGTAGTAAATTTGATGTGTGCTGGAATTTTTCAACTTTCACAATTAAATCCTTCTTGCTATATGAAGATGAGGTTATTGCTCAAGCTAGTCGTGCATCAGTGAGTGAAATAATAATGCGAACGCGAATATTATCGAAGTAATACTTTGTGTTTAGAACCGAGAAAACATAAGCAAACTATCAAATGGAATAGTAAAACATATTGAGTGGTATATGTTTTCTAACTGCCAAACATTTTTTCATCGTCATTTATCGAAATGAAATGACAAATTACCTCAATCATCTAATGTTTTCCTGACTTAGACTGTTCTTTAACGAAATTTTGATTTTCTTTTGAGACAGTTGTCCGAGATATTATATGAGTGAGAATCCAAGAAACGGGAAATGCCTTACAAACATTCTCGCATGCTTCATTTCTTTGATGGTAATAATAATAATAATAGTAATAATTATTTATTACCAAATAACAAAAGGCATGCTATTTTGCATCCAGGATCAAAATGTCATGTTTGATAATGTACTTTATAAAATACGTTACTTAATGAATTATTTCTTTAGATACAGTGGCTTCATATGGATGACAAACATTTCCACATACAATTCCAGATAACGTTCTAAACACTGCAATATACAAGGCGAAAGTTTACGCGAGTTATGACTGTTACATTACCGCGAATGGTATTTGAATTACAAACAATGGAATGTAAACTGAGTTTGCATATGACAGCAATTGATGAAGTATGTGTGTAAACATCTTGCTCAAAGTCAATATAATATAAGTTTACATGGTTCCCTGTAAGATAACTAAGTTTTCAATCCCTTGAAGAGGTTGATGAAAAGGAGAGATTAGGGAAAAACCACAGGACCTATTTTAAGCTGCTGCAATAAAGGATAATCGATCAACATACTCTAGACAGTCTCGTCAACCAAGTAGAACCAGATAATAGGAATCCGTCAAAACTAAAAAAATACATGGGA